GTCCCCAGCCAGTCATGCCGCAACCACCCAACGAGCCCAGAAGCCGGAAAAAAACAGGTAAGGACGTTTAGCACTTGCCTTTTCCCACTCATTCCCACCAGGGCCGACGAGAGTTATTTGGACGGAAATGAAAAGAGTATGGAAGAAATAAGGGGGGGTAAGACAATCTGGGAAACCACTGGGAAAGCGCCGCGTTGAGCGTTAATGCGTGCGGTTTCCGCAGAGGTGAAATTATTTTAAGAGTACTGCGGCTGCTCGGTGCCCTTCAAAAAAAGAATTGGGAAGCGGGCCCGACCACCCAACTGGTCCAGAAACTGTTGAAAAAGTTATCATAAACCAGTGCTTACTAAACAGGGGGAAATTATTCTAGAGATGTGTTTGACCGGTTGAGGGTTTTAAGAAATAATAAACCAAAACCCTATTATTCCAGGGTATGTAGAAGGGTTAGATCATGATTTACAAATTACAATATGCACATTCGTAGACCCACCCCTTCAGGAAATTATTCAAGGCAAACTAAAATTTGTTTAAAAAAAGACGCGGCCTAGTTGATACTGCCGAGCCATCTTTTTAAGGGCCCCCTCATTCTGTTTTGCTTGGCCGTCAATGCAGGTGGCAGTGGCAAGGTATCCCGCGATGCTGCCCTCAGACATTGAGGTGTGGCAAGCCGTGCCTTTGCCCCCGACGGCACAATATGTGCCGAAGAGCTGCGTGGCCTGCAGCGCACAGGACTGCGCGGTACTGACGGGCTGTTGTCGCGGAGGACCTGATGAAGAAATCTTTTTGGGGGACCTTTGTAAATAACCAAAAACCCCGGTAAGAGACCCCAAACAGTGTGGGGGAGTCGGGGGATCATGTAAGATGATGGTTATGATGATGATGATGATGATGATGATGATGATGAGGGTGATGATGAGGGTGATAATGTTGCGGACCGTGATGTTGAGGATGAAAATATTGAGGATGACGATGTTGAGGATGATGAGGTGCAGGATGATGATGTTAAGGAGGAAAGGGATGATGATGCTGAGCACGAGGAGGCCCAAACCCTCTTCTGTGAGGACGGGTCCATCACGCTGCTTGGCGACGGTGACTGGGACGGCAACGAGCTATGGTTTTGCTCCGACCCCCTGACCTCATCAGCCTGCTGCGGGCAACGCCGGACGGGCGGGCGTGCCCATACATGCAGTTCGCAGAGGAGGACGGAGGGAATTTACGGGGGCTGATATTTTTGTACAGCCTACATGAAGAGAAGTAAAACCATATTTGCAATTGGAATCATACCGGCAAGGGACCCCACACAGTATGTAGTTAGGGTTCTAAAGAGCAATTCCAAAATGATCCAAAACCAGCAGTGGCTGCAAGCTCGCAAGACCAGAGCGATCCTAGTAGTGAAAAGAAGGGATACCAAGTTCCCTTTGCAAAGATCTCTGCAGAAAATTGCGCGCAAGATCTCCTTGAGAGGTTCTCTGTAGAAGCTGATGCGCAAAATTCCTGTGTCGGGCTCTCTGCACAAGGCGTCCATAGGCTCTTCGCCAGGTTTCGGCACAAGATCTCCACGGGAGGTCTCCTGGCAAGATCTCGGCCCAAGATCTCTATAAGAGCGCTCTCTGCACAGATCTCTTGAAGAGGTCTCTTGGCAAGACATTTGGCCAAGATATCTATACGAGATCCTTCGGCAAGATCTCTTTACGAGATCTCTGTACAAGCTCTTTAAAACCCTCTGGGCAAGATGTATGGGAGAGACCTCTTGGCAAGATTTCTGCAACAGATCTCCATGCAATCTCTCTTTAGAAGGTCCCCAGAAGAGGTGTCCTGGCATGATCTGTATATAAGAGCCCTATAAGAGGTCTCTTGACAAGATCTCTGCAAGGGGCGTTTTGGCAAGATCTCAGCAGATCTCTACGCAATGTCTGTGCACAAGATCCCTGTATGAAATTTCCGATACGTGCTTTCTAGAAAGTTTCTCTCTGTAGTACTTCTATAAGAGGCCTCTTGGCATGAACTCTGAAAAAGATCTCCACAAAAAGGTCGCTTGGCAAAATCTCTGTACAAACTCCGGTGAGAGGTCTCGCGGCAAAATTTCTGTATGAGATGTTTCGTTTTGCGCGGGCTGGCGCGGTCGACATGCACATGGACATGTCACCAGAGCCCTTTCATACAGAAATTTACAAGGAAAATGCTAAATGCCCCTCCCGGGGACATCGTTTTGTGCGAGCCTGCGGGGCCGAAATAGACATGGACATCTCACCAGAGCCATTTTGTGTAGATTTTTTTCAATGGGACCGCCGGGCGTTTCCGATATCACCTCCATGGAAAACCGGGCCTTAACTGTTACCGCCGGAAGAACCCTTCAGTGCGGCCACACTGTTTGGGGAACCGGCCAGGCATTGAAGCAGGAGCTGGGCACGCCGCCCAAAGACCCCTGGCAGCGTGGCAGGTCTCCACAGCCACGTCCTCACCGTGCCCACGCCGGACCTGCGGGCGTCCGCCTGCATCCGCGCGGAACAAGCGGCGGCGCGTTTCTTGGTTCCGTCGAGCAGTTACCCAGTGGGCCCCCATGTTGTCACTATCTTTTGTTGGAAAAAAGATGATGTTTTTTCCATAATGTCACTTGCATTTGAGTTTTAGCATAGAGACATACCGGTTAAGCTTGGTAACGTTGATGGTTCTGTGTGACGTGTGCAAACTGTTTTGGCACATGACAATAAACGGCACATTTTTGCATCTTAAGTTATAATAGATATATTTACATGTATATGTGCGTGGGTGACAACATTAGCTGAAATAAAAGATTTTTGGCGGAATGTGCCAAGGACTAATATTTCCAACTTAGCAATCGTTTCCGGCGATATTTACTAGTGCTACCTGGGCTTACTACGGATTTGAACGGCCGGGTAGGAAACGATAATAGAAATAGTGATCAATACAATTCAGATATACAAGCAAAAAGTATCTTCTCAATTCAGAAGACTTCAAGGTGTGTGGGAGGAGCATGCGCCCATCGGAGGCAGCTTAAGCTGCCTTTTCTGGCTGGCCCACGGGTGCCACGCGGCACTTGATGCGCCCAAGAAGGCCGGGGTTAATTCCCGATATGGGGGATACAACGAACAAGTTATATACGGGTGTGAGAGCCAGGTGACAAACCTTCGGTTTTCAGTTTTATATTAAAATGTATATATGTACAAACACATATACAGATTTTTCGCAGAATTTCAAATAGGTCTATCATGCGGATGGTTTATCACGGTTTATCCAAACGGTTTGTCTGTGTGTATATATATATATAGATCTATACATGGCTTGAAAAGGCATCAAAAATGGATTTAGCACTTGGATGTAAACAAATTCAAAAAAAGGCAATAAACAAATAAAGAAATGTATCATTCAACGAGAATGATGAAACAATCCTGTGGATAACTTTTACAAAAGATGCCAGCACGCGTCTAAGTTTGATCAGCGTGTATATTTTCATATAAATGAAACACCTATGCGCGCACACGTATATGTAAAAAGGCGCTTCGATCCCCAGATGCACCGACATGTCAGGTGGACGCCGCCAGAGTGGAGAAGCTGACCCACGAAATGTGGGACGCATACGGCTTCAGGAAGTCCTCAGGGCGCCTGCCCCAGCTGCTAGCAGGACGCCACCTGGCAAAGCTGCCGCGCGATCTGTCCCAGGAGCTTCCCCACAAGGCCTGGGAGATGCAGATCTTCCATGGTGGCCGGACCGTTTCAATAGCAGTCTCTCCTTATGCGGTGCCGCTTTTGATGTAAAATTTAAAACACTGGGTTGGCGCGAGATATAACTTACTGTAACCCATCAGCTCGTGTTTTTGAGCGGCAGGCTTAGATTTTTCCCGAGAGCGCCTGCGAAGGGTTCTTCGTAAAAAGGCAACCGTTATATACATCTTCACACCCTCACACCTGCTGATCTACATCTTCACACCTTCACATCTGCTGATCTACATCTTCACACCCTCACATCTGCTGATCTACATCTTCACACCCTCACATCTGCTGATCTACATCTTCACACCCTCACATCTGCTGATCTACGTCTTCACACCCTCACATCTGCTGATCTACATCTTCACACCCTCACATCTGCTGATCTACATCTTTACACCCTAACCATCTTCACACCCTCACATCTGCTGATCTACATCTTCACACCCTCACATCTGCTGATCTACATCTTCACACCCTCACATCTGCTGATCTACATCTTCCCACCCTCACATCTGCTGATCTACATCTTCACACCCTCACATCTGCTGATCTACATCTTCACACCCTCACATCTGCTGATCTACATCTTCACACCCTCACACCTGCTGATCTACATCTTCACACCCTCACATCTGCTGATCTACATCTTCACACCCTCACATCTGCGGATCTACATCTTCACACCTTCATATCTGCGGATCTACATCTTCACACCCTCACATCTGCAGATCTAGATCTTCTTCACACCTTCACATCTGCAGATCTCCGCTCGCTCTTCTTTTTATCTCTCTCTTAAGGCGGGGGCGGTGCCGCCGGGGCGCCACGAAACGCAACCCTTTCGCACGAAATGGACGTTGGACGTCAAAAACTGAGGTAAAATTGTGATTTTTCTTTTCAACAATAGAAATGGGATGATGATCCCCACTTTTTCGAATATAGGTTTGAGATGGCTCAACCACCAACCATATTTGTTGGTACATCCTATTATCACCCCATTGTGGATTAAGTCCTTTGTTTTTTGGTCATAATACGGTATCACTATTGTATTCCCACATTGTATCCTGCTATATACAATATCAACACTAAATCCCCACATCACAATATGGTTGGTGAAATCCCTATTTTTCCTAGTTACCCTCTTGCAGTCAAACATGGTTTGCTGGAAAATCCCTCATTTATGTATGATTTTCCCAGCTATAAACCTCCATTTTTAGGGAATTTCCCATTACCATGTTTGATTTTTGGAGGGTATATTACAAACCCCATCAACATCATAAACCATACTTATTGTAGTTATGTTCCCCAACTTAGCTATCGTTTGGGGCCCCCACTTTGTTAGTTATAGTTAGTTAATGCCATTAGGTCATATTAAAACACATTTTTTCTTGTTAGTTTCCCATAAAATCCCTATATGTTTCCTACTCGTAGTTATTTCCATATGAAATCCCATGAAATCCCATGAAATCCCATGAAATCGTTGCTTAAAACATCATTCAATCCCCATATATTTCCTACTTCTATCCCCAAGTTTGGCATGTCAATTCCTAAGACACCGCCAGGGCCACCGCTGTGCCGCGCCAGGCAAGTGGAGCTGGGCTTTGCAGGTGCTCGAAGATGTGGCGCAGGCAGAGTGCGACTGGTTTTTTAGGTGGTAATTTTCCTAGGAGAAACCTAGTAATAAACCCAGTATATAATCACATTATACACCCAGTATAAGTATCACATTATTGGGGATTGTTTATTACTGGTTGGAGAAGGGATTATATAATGTGATAAACCCGGTAATAAACCATGCAACCATCCCCAATCCTAACAGAGACAGATTGTATAAATCATCCCCAAACCATTGGGTGTACCACATTAAATCCCTTACCCTAAAATGAATTCTATATATGTCCTAAGATACGGCTGGCAAAGGTTTTTTGCGCCCCAGTTGCGCTCCCTCAGAAGGTATGCTTGGATCCGTAGAGATAAGCACAAAGGGGTTAATTTTACCCCTTTAAATGACCAGCTTAAGCCCCTTGTACATGGACTATTTTCAGATCATGTTCCAGGGGAAAGCTATGGACCGGATTTCCATAGCTATGTTTCTCAGAATTGGTTTTCCAAAGTCGGAAACTCCCAGATTTCATGGGAGAATCCATGGGTTTCCTGTGAAGTTTCCAACCCATAGCTGCGATCGCAACAGCGAGGCGCGCCTGACTCCTGATGAGGTGACCTGGAGCAGCGTGGTGTGCATCTCAGAGAGGAAATCTTGGGGAAGGCTGGTATATTAACCAGCAAACATTGGGGGTTATTGATGATTATTGGAAAATATTATATATATATATACACAGTACTGGTAAGGGATTTAATATATATATATATCTCTTTTGATACCAGGTAGATGTGCCAGTTGTATAGATGTAAGTCCAGACAGTCAAGAGTGACTATCAGCGTGTGAATGAACAATGAAAATAATGGGAATACGCTGGACACACATTGTCCAAAAAAATCAAAGCAGGATTTGAACGTATGCGGATGGATCAAAGCATCAAAGCCTACGAAATACCATGTCTTGCAGTACTCTATGAACATGCACTTAACCGAAGTAGTTTGTGTTGAATAGAAAGGTATCGGTAGAGGGTTTCGACTGCCATATTTGACCAGCAATCCTGGCAATATGTTGGACATATACTGGAAAAATGGTGACAAACTTGGCATTTATGAATGGAAACCATGGACTATAATAAGCATCCATAATAAATATGGAGACCTCGCAATGGAATGATGAGGTTTCCATAGCATACCCTATATCATCCAAGTTTAATAGGGAAACCCATGGTTTGAACACTCAATGGATTGGTTTTTTTCGGGCAAATCTACACCATGGATTTTCCCATGAAATATGGGTGGGGGTTCAATTGTCCCTGAAACCAAACCCGTATATTGGGGGATACAAACCATGATTTCCTTTTGAACGACCTCACATCGCAACTATCTCAATATAGCCGAACTTTTCAGGTTAGTGAAGTACTATAAAGATCGAAGATCTGGGTAAATTATAACGATCTCACTGCGACCGAACCCTGGAATGATGGGATTTTTTTGGGGGGGACTTCTCCCAAGATCGCCGAACCTTTCAGGTTAGTGACTGAGTCGTAACTTGCTCAGAACCCATTGAAGTGGATGTTGAGTTGGTCCACTAAATCCCACTATCCCCATGAAAATCCATGATATTCCATGAATTCCCATGAAATTCCCATGAATTGTCCATGAAATCCCACGAATTTCCATGAACTCCCATTCAGGATGGGGCCCACTGATGTTTGTTGGTTAATGAACCATTATTAACCCCTAAGTTATATCTACCATAAACATCCATAAACCATAGTTAACCATCCTGTTGGGATCTGTGTTTTTCCCTGAGGTGGATGCCTGCGCAGAAAGCTCGCGCTGGCAGGTCGAGTTGTCTCCGAAAACTGGGGATTCGATGGGAAAATCATGAAAAATGGAGGTAAAACAATAAGAAACCTCGTGCATAGAGGCTATTGCACCTCTCTAAGAGAGGGCGATCTTTCACGTTCTCACCTAAACAGAAACTACCCATTTGTGAATGGTCTATACCACCTATACAAATGGTGATTTGGGGGATGGTTTGAAGAGAACTTCAGGCCCAGAGTTGACTTGGATGGTTCTGAGATCTATCAGAGGATGGACATGGAAGAAGTTTTGGCACCATGACCGTATGTCCCCAATCCGAAGATAGATTGTGTTCCACGGCCACAAACGCCACCTGACCTCTTGAAAGAGACGCCTCCCAAGGGCCCAGCGGGAGCATGTTGACTCACACCACCGAAGTCCATCCTCAAAAAGAATGCCACCAAAGTGATTGACAAGAAACCAGAGACTTCAGAGACTTCAGAGACTTCAGATGCGATGGCTGTTCTGCTGGCCGTGCCTCGAACACCGACAGTTTACATGTTTTTGGATCAGCCGGGTAATTTATCGAACCAAGTTTTTTTTGTGTCTTATGCCTGGAATTTGGGTGTTTCACCCACATTACTGTGGATGACTGCGAAATCCAAGGAAAACCACCTTGGATGGTTTTTCAACATATTGAAACAAAAAAACATGGGACGTTTACCACTTACCGGTGCAGGATTTCACATCCACATTTTTTTTAAACAGGAGATACCCTCTGGTTATTCAATGAAGCTATGGATAATCCCCATTTTTGAAAGATACATCATCATAAACCTAGAAAGTAGAAAATTGGTTAATCAGCAACCCCCAAAACGATAGAAAAGTTGGATACCTGGAAATTTTTAGGGGGGAAACATCATCGAACCTGGCCATCCTGGAAACACGTTTTGATCTTTTTGGGGGTTGCTGATTAACCGGATATCACTCACCAAGAAGATGCTTCATAAGTTATATCAATAACTAGTAACCTTGGAAAAGCCCCACTAACAGGTTAGAAATTGCATAACTCACCAAGTTTTGCTTAGTGTAAACGTGGGGTTTTTCCAGAAATTACATGAAATTTTCGATCAACCGATGATATTTTGGGTACTCGACTTTCAGACAAAGACGTATCGTTAGGAAAACTAAAAATTACCCTCTGGTAAACATACAAAAAGCTATTGAACATGGCCATTCATAGTGGATTTGCCCATAAAATTGGTGGTTTTCCATCACAGTTATGTTAGTTTACCAGAGGGTATCTCCACTGATATTACAATCACAGACCGTGCGATACACCTACACCCAGTGACGACAAGCAACCCTTGTTGCAGGAATGCCTCATCTTCGATGGCAACAACGGTTTCCTATACATGTTTTTCCCTGCACAACTGCTCCATGGACAATCCCCATTCCGAAGTAATTATTGTAGATTATTGTAAGAATAGTTGCTTCCAACGATAGTGCAACGACCATTCAAACATAGGATATTCCCGCCAGCATTTCTGAGACGCTTTCAGGGCTGTTCGCATATACACATTATACTCATGAAAAACAGAAGCACACACACCTGAACACCAGGCTAGCTGGCCTATCCACAGTTAAAACTGTTGGATTTGTGGGCTGAGAATGGGTCAAAACCTTTAACGCACCATTCATTTGGAGGAGATGAGCATCCATAAATCCCAATAAATCGCTATGCACAGCATTGCTGTGCTGTGAGAATCAGGGGATTCTGCTTTTGAACTGTTTTTGTTGAGGCAGCCACCAGCTGCTTCTTTGCGAGGCGCCAGTCGTCCCATGTCGTCCCCATGGGCTTGACCGTGATTTTTTCTCCAGTACTTGACTGGCACATGTTGATATTTGAAAGAACAGTTGCATAAAAGACTATTGTTTATAACTGTATATATATAATATGTGTATATATATATACATAGAGAGAGAGAGAGAAACCACACTTAGAGGAGATTCCTGTTCTTTTCAACCAATTCCAAGAACATCTTAATGATGAACAGAATGGACGGTTTTCCCACGCCGCAAATGCGCCAATCATGGACCCGAAAGCAATGAGTGCAGTGTCTAAAGCTGTTTGGTTTTAACAAGGTAAATCATGGACCTTTACAATGTAACATGTGGAAACCCAGTAAACTACAACATAATCCATGTAAGCTATCTCTACTTATTTCTGAGTTAGGAATTAACATGTTCATTATACATATATTGTTTACATCCCAGTGTTGGTTTAAGGGTAACCTACAGAAAACCCCGTGATGTTTGGAGGCTTCCGACGTAGATGTTCCTGCATCCAATCCATGCACCTTGGACAAGACCATAAGACAAAATTGGTAGCTCTAAATCCATTGAAGTCTCTAGGATGAAGGTTTTTCAAAAGAACATCCGAAGTTTCTAGTCACTAATCATAATCCCGATTTTTTTTATGGACACTTGGGGGATACACCCCATTTCCATCCATTTCCATCTATTTTCATATACACGCAAAGAAAATAGCTGGTTGCACGATATCCATTGTTGGTTAACCCCCCCTTTTATTCTTGATTCAATCGTGATTTTTAGACACAGCCACACTGGTTGAACTTACGTCATATAGTATCATATAGTCATAGTCTATGTGTATATATGAGCTACAGCCAAAATTTAGGTTAATGGAGCTATGTACCAAATATTCACTGTGGCCCATATGTATATACATAAACCATAGAATTCATCCAGCCAGTCCAACCAACTTAGCGATTCCGAACATGGTGCCCCACCGTTTTTTCAGTCCATGACCCGTCGACATCCAGGCGGTCAGCACCCAATGTGGTCACGTCAAGTGCCTTGATCAAGGCGTGCGCCGACCCAGCGGCTGCAGGGTTTCTTGAGTCATGGGGGATCACCAGTCGTCACCATGGCCTTTAAATCCTAAGTTGTGGTCGTTCATGACGACTGGATGAGATGGGGGTTACCCCCATGACTTAGGGCACCCCCCATATCCAGGATCCTCAAAGGGAACAAAAGCAACATGATCGTGTGGGGTTGGATGCTATGAGTCAAAACCCTGGCACCCTTGGTATCCTAAAAGTGCTTGTTACATGAGTGAATGTTTATTATTATTACCCCAAATTTGGCCATAATAATAACACAATAATCATCCCCATATAGATCCAGTATGTCCAGGTATGAACGGGCCAGCCAGTGGCAGTTGGCCCTTCTATTCTTACAGAAGATGTCGAGAGCTCAGCGGCTCAGAATCAGCTGGGTGTTTGGATCGAGGTATGGCCCAAAGAAAAAAAAAATCTGGGTACCCACTGGTTATGTCAACAGTTAGCTATTGAAAATGACCATTTATAGATATTTATAGTGAATTCTCTCATTTAAAATGGTGATTTTCCATAGTTATATCAACGTTTACCAGAGGGTAAATTATAACGATCTCACTGCGACCGAACCCTGGAATGATGGGATTTTTTTGGATGGACTTCTCCCAAGATCGCCGAACCTTTCAGGTTAGTGACTGAGTCGTAACTTGCTCAGAACCCATTGAAGTGGATGTTGAGTTGGTCCCACTAAATGCCACTATAATCCCCATGAAATTCCATGAAATTCCCATGAGTTGTCCATTAAACGCTGACCTCGAAATTTCTGACCTCGAAATGCATCACAATTCCTTCCCGCAGCCATCTCCACATTGATGTCATAGAACTCATTGAGACCGACATATTTCGGGGCACTTTTGTTTGTCAGCCTCCTTATTGAACCATCATTTTTACAGGGTTGTTCCAACCTGTTACAAGTACATTTGTTGGTCACAATGGGGCTTATCTTCTCATTTTACCAGCCAATTTACCCCTTTATCTACCCAATTTACATCAATTTACTTCCGTATATCTAGGCTGTTCGGAGCCACTCTGAATTTTTTTACCAGTTTTTACCAGCCAATCTTCCGAGGCGCCGTGAATCGAAGTTACCAAGGTTGGGCTGGAACTGAGGGCAACGAAGCCTTGCTTTAGCACTGGATCTGTTGATCTTAAGGGCCGAGATGGTTGGTATGTGTTTTCAATAATAGGGGAAGATGTGTATTTAACAATCTAAATTTTGGGGTTGATATTTTTGAACCATACCTATGAATACCTATAAATATCCTAGATTTAGCGTTGTTGCTCCGAACCAGTCATTCAACATAAATGCTGCTACATCATGGTAAAATGGATTTTGCGGCATCGGCATCTATTCTTGGCGTCCCATGCTGGGTTTGGATTGTCACATCCTTGTTTCAAAGAGAACAGAATCAAAAACTCCAAGTGCTCTTAACTGTAACACCATGTTGAACTGCGAGCAGTCTCGCCGGGATTCTTTGGGGCAATCTTAACCCTGGATTCAGGTTTTTTTCCAAAACTAGCAGAGGATATATGTATATATACCAATGAATTCTGCCATGGTTTGAAATATTTTGATTAAACAAATATTATCATACCTGGTACTTTCAGTAGATGGGATTCCTTTAACAACCATGATCTGCAGCTTGCTTGCTCCAACCTTCCTCAAAACACATATTATCTCAAATTTATGGCGAAATGGTATGACATGGTCTGAATCCTTAAGTGCATTCATTAAGATCCAACCTAAAAATCGTTCGTAGATTTTTTTCAGATGGTATCCATGCCGCATCCCAGCGATGTCAGGCCCAACCAGATTTCTTGGAGCAGCGTGATGAGTGCAAGCACCCAGGCGAGGTGAGGGGATATGTCAAATCATGCACGGATTGGTTGGCAGCTGGTGGGTTCATTTTCAAAAGACAACCATAATACCACCATATTTAGGATGATGATCCAAACTGTCTTTTTATTGAGGGTTTGAAAGCACTGAAACCACCAACCATCTATAACCATAACTAACGTTCAGTCATCCAAGAACTAAAATGGTTTTGCCCCCCAAGAAATGACACTTTTATGGGAACATGATGTGAATCAACTTGTGTACCCTATTCCTAGAGAAATTCACCAAACTTGGCACATGAAGCAGATTGATTTGATCACCAGCTTGAGGGGAATGACGTTGCCAATCCGAAAATGGGGATGGGGGATGCGAAGCAACAGCAATGCTTCGGTGATTTTCTTATGAACCAAAACTCGACCAAAACATGCATATTTTCAGCGGCCATATTCTTGGAAATATATTATCCACCAAAATGTGATTGACCAAAATTGGTGATGTAACCAATTCGCCAAATGCAGCACTTGGTTTGTGATTTCAATCATTTTCTTTTTTTCATTCCCAAGAAAGAAGCTTGCCCCACCTACGTCCTGTCTGAGCTTCTGCCCTGATTCACTTTGAAAATCATCGAAAATTCCACAAATCAATGGGAGAATTCCAGGATCCTAAAATGGAGGTACTATACATTACTGTACCATATAAGGCCAATATTTTGTGGTTCCTGAGTCATGGCCATTGATCAAATGAACCCCCCAGGGTCAATGGCCATTGCTTCATCGGTCCCAGTCACATGAGTCGATGCATGTCAATTCTAGCGACCAAGATTCGCTCATTGAGTTATTTGTCCTTTTGATCTCGCCATTTTTGCATACCATTTTTTCATCTGGGGTGTTTGGGAGCCCTGCAACACGTGCTTCAACTAGCCTATCTCGGTTCCCAAGTGTTGTTGCATCCCCCTTGTCGAATCAGTTGCTTCGCCGGTGAAATGTTGATTGAATCCCAGGGATGAACATGGCCAGGGCTTTGCATGGCAACACGCCCTACTGCTGTTGAAGATGGCTCAAAGGTGCGCATCATCGAGCTACTGGGGAAGTTATAAGTGGTTTATAGTCAATGTTGCACTATATGAATTTATCCTTCATAAACACTAGTTAACAAAGTGATAAGTCTTAAAGCATATCATTAAACACTAGTTAACCAAATGATAGGCCTTAAAACATCTTATTCATAAACCACGAGTTAATTAAGTGATATAAGTCTTATACCATCTTAAAACGATTTTAGAACATATGATGGTACTCTTGCGTTTCTGGGAGAGTGGATCTATGATGTAGCCAAATGGAGCCAAATGGCGAACTAAATGATTTCAGCATACGGAGAAAAACATCTGATGCTGATTAATAAGGTTGCTGTTTATCCAAATGCCACTGTACAACTTGATTCTGTCAATCGTCTGGTCTTGTCTAAAGTTGTCCGGAGATCGTGTCGTAGGGACTCCCTCCAACAGTGCCAACACTATCACTCCATAAATTTCATGAAGTACTTCACATGCAAAAAAACAAACCTGCCATTGGCAAGGCATTCAGGCGTCCACACTATCAGTTGGGTACGGTGCGTGCCCGCGCCATGTGCAAAGGTTGTGATTTGTGGCTGGCACCCATGGAGATGTTTGACTTAAAAACCAAGTAGCCATGCAGCACAGATGACCGGAAAAATTTTCCAGGTGTTGACACCTAAAATTGTGGATGAAGCATCTGAAATATGGGGGTCATTTAGGGTTCCAGGATGTTTCAAATAGATACAGGTGGCATGATTGCAGCAGGGTTGCTGTGTCGTCATATCCTTTTTTTTGCTAGTCCCAGATCAATTACGTGCCTACTTATACAGAAACACTCACTCTGTTGCTCCCAGTTTTCATGATTCTACCACTGTTTGACTATGGATCAGAAAGTCACAATCTCAAGAAATTGGGAGATGATTGACATCATCATTGACTGGTTGTTGGTTTGGAACATGAGTTTTATGATTTTCCATTCAGTTGGGAATTTCATCATCCCAACTGACGAAGTCATATTTTTCAGAGGGGTAGGTATACCACCAGCCAGATGATATGTCTATGGTTAGTGGGGTTGATAAACCACAACTTACTGGTTGAAAAACATAAGTCCCATCACTGTTGGGTTTATGGTGGATACATAATAGGAAGATGGTTGACATCATCATTGATGATCAGCACCTTTTGTCACCTTTTGTCACCTTTTGTCACCTTTTGTCACCAGGGATGGCATTGAGCTCAAGGCTTCGATGTGCAATGCCGCCATGAGCCGCTCGTCGGTGAGTTGAAGGGTGAACAGAATTGGATGGACCTGCCATCTCCCATGACTGTGCCTATATTATGTTCATATAATTTATATAATTTATATATATATTACATAATATATATATATATATTACATAATATATATATATATTACATATTATATAATTACATATTGATACACATTGTAGGTGTGTATATCATGTGTATATATATATACAATAATATATTATGTGTGTGTGAATACGTGCATTTAATTTTACGCTATTATATACGCCAAAACAAGCTTAAGAAATGAGCCGTGTGAGCTCAGGCATCTCATTGAACGTTCCTGCACCACCGTAGTTAAAACATTTTGAAACCCTAGCCGCCCTAGCCCTATAAATAATGGGATGTTTACCACCTATCAACCGGTGCAGGATTTTTTGACATCCACAGTATGTTTTAGGCCCTCTCAACCACCCAAGGCCAAAATTTGTTGGTCTGTGAGCTGAGATGGCGGATCAAAATTAAATGGTTACAATCCCATAAAATTAAGTGTTAACACAATCAACCTAGCAAACTTGAGGATGGTTTATACCAGCCATGGTGATTTTGGAGATGGTTCCTTGGTTTACCACATGATCCTATTCGTGATTCGGAGCTGCCCCAAGATGTTCTGAGGTGCGTGCGCTGCCAGCAAAGAATGGAGGCTTGGCCGGGTTCCTGGTGAATGATGGAGGAATGCGCAGTGTACAAAAACATTGGACTATACTCTGCTAGAACTAAACATGTTGGAAATACCTTTTGTATGTTGTCAAATATCTAAAATCATGCGTCAACAATATCTAATTTGGCTATTGTCCCCCCTTCTTGTTCGTTGCGCCCCTATTCATGGCCCTATTCATTGAGGCATCTGAGGCAGAATTCCCGGCCTTGGATTGGGGTTTTCCAGGCAAGCGATGGCCTTGCTGAGCGAGTGCGAACCTGACTTGGTGACCTACAATGTCTTGTGCTCAGTCGAAAGTCCACATGCTCCACCGGCAGTCCGGATCATCTTGTTTTTTGTTCGCAAGGGAGACGCGTTTCCAAATCTGGTGTCATGAGAAGCTTAGAAGATCAAGAAATGTAGGAACAATGCCGGTGAGACTAGTGCATATATAGAATTACAAAGCAACATGGTCACATGGTCATGTATAAAAACATGTGTATACATGATGTGAGTGTATATTTATAAATAATATCTATTGTGTAATATATATATATATACATTATTATATCATAATATATATATATACTATGTCATTTTCATACTTTACATTATAGATTATGTATAGTATATACTATATACTGTACATTATATTTTACATGTTATATACTATATATAATATTTTGTATATTATATCTTATATATTATACTTATATATATTATATGTTTTATTGTATATGTTATATGTTTAATATATTTGTTTATAGTATATATTATAAATTGTATATTATAAAAAATGTATCATATACAGTATATTGTATTATTTCTATCTATATAATAAATATTAATATATATATAATATCATATTTATATATACCATATTTGCTATAGTGTGTATGTTATTTTTTGTATATGTATATATATAGTATATTACATATAAATGTATGTTAATGTATACATTATATGTTATATTATATATAATATATTTATATTATATTCATATTTTATTATATTATATAAATATTATTATATTATTTATATTATATTATATTGTATTGTATTGTATTATATTATATTGTATTGTATTATATTATATTATGCTATATTATATTTTAGTATGTTATATTATATTACATTATATTATATTATATTACACTATATTATATTATATTATTTTATATTGTATTATAATATATGTATATATATATATATTATATATATATACTGTACTGTATAATATATTATAATCTTATAGACCAGCAATCTTTCAACACTTCGGAGATGTTAGGCCTTTCTGGCGGCCTGCGAAGCATCACAGTGGGTTCGCAGGGCCGAGCAATAAAGGGCACGTGATGGGTTTGGGTTGGAATGATTACTGGTTGGTTTGTTTGGTGATTCAACCAACAATTGGAATTACCTTCTGGTAATTTAACATGGATTACTGTAGTATGTTTTCCGTATAAGGGAAGGCAATTCATATGTTGTTTCATTTTCCTAACACTGCTATTGAAAATCTTATACATGACTGGCCTATTTGACATGGATATGTTCCATAAACCAATCAACAATTGGAATTCATTGCAACGCGAATCAATGCGATATGATTTGTGTATATCAACCATTCTCAACCCATGCTTCGAATATCTTCGAAAACTGTTTTTAGCATTTTTGTTTTCAATCATGTTTGGGTTGACTTTCCCAAAGATGGAAACAATTGAAAACTCTCCGGATTATTAAGGTAATAATCGTCTGTGACATCCTGGTTTCTTGATCGATTTGTGGACCCAAAGCAACGTTTCTTTGTTGCCTGCACGATGGTTACTGTTTCAGTGACCATGAGCCCAGACTTTAAGGGGAGCGCCTAGAGGTTTGGGACTTCTTTCACTGGAATGACTTCTGGATTTTACAATTATATATATATATATATGCTATACATTTATTGAGTGGATGCTGTACCTCCAGGGTTTTAGTGAAAGTCTCACCATGTTGAGACTTCTTTGTTCTTTACAAACTGTAAGGAATCCACCTGTCCGCTAGCTATAAGAGATCGAGAGAGATCGTCATTGTGGGTCCCTTAGTCCAAGAGCGTTCGGTTTTTGCGGCCGGGGTTTGAGGAGAGAGCTTTGACGGTGATGAACTTGCTGAAAAAGCAACCAAACTTTTTGCCAGTTCCTCAGGGTGGACTTTGGAACCATGGGTGCGCTTGAACATTTCAGAACCAGGGGACAAGGAGGGGACAACAGGTTTTGATCTTGTAAACGATCGCAATTTGGGATATCCAATTTGACTCATACCGATTTGCGGACTAGGTTTCCAGATGGTTTTGCCAATGTTCATCTATTTTCTGCGTTGAACCTGACCCGACCCGCCGTATGCATGATGGCTTTGCCAACTCTCAAAGCTACAGTTGATATGTGACTGGCACGGGGTTTCCAGTTTTACTGATCAGTAGATCCAGGAAATCTGCTCAAATTGTGCAGAGACAAATGGAAGTTTACGTTTACGCCATGGCAGGCAAGTGCTACCAAGGTAAAGGTACGTTAAGCGTCCCCGTTGTTTCTCGGAGAAGCCATAAATGTGAGTTGAATATGTTGATTTGTTGGTCGAAGTTTGATGGATCACATGGATCGGTTGTCGCCCAGGCCCGATCTTATCAGTTTCAACAGCCTTCTGGCAACCTTCGAGAAGGTGACGTCTGACTCTGGGCGCCCGGAGCAAGATTCTGCGGCAAAAAAAGTCGATCAATGGTCAGACAAACAAAACGGTGAATTCCGGTTGTGTAAATGGAACATGCCAGATCAGGTTCCCAAATCATGGAGAAGCTTTAATGGAAAATTGCCCATTTATAGTTGATTTACCTACTAAAAATTGTGATTTTCAATAGCTTATAAGCTTCCGGTTGGTGTATTCCAGTATATGGTATGATATGGTGTTAAAATTTTTCAGCAAATCTCCGCAGTTCCGGATTGCTGCCACGATACAAAAGCTGCCGTGGTTCCGGATAGAAAAGATGCTGTTGACACAACAGATCTTGTAGGTCCCTTCAGGTATACCAGGTACATTACCCTCTGGGAAACTTTCACATAACTATGGAAAATCACCATTTTATAGCTGGGTAAATCCACTATTTCTATGGCCATGTTCAATAACTTTTTTTTAATGTTTACCAGGTACATTAGATCAACGTCGATCGGCTGTGTAAGTCTCCCTTAAATCGTGAGGCCATCAAGTGGGAGCTTGCCCTATCAGTTCTCTTGGAGATGTGCGGTGGAGAGGCCAGGATTTTTCCGGATTTGGGATGAGAAGACGCAAGACTGGGAGCATGTAGCAGATCTTGTCCTGAAGCGGATATAGAATAAAGAGATAGGGCAAGCACAAGAAGATTTTTTTCGAAAAAAAAACTGTTGGATAGCCAAATCTCTGAGCGAATTGAGGCCAACATAAACATGAGCAGGTTGGTAATTCATGTTGTCCTATCCTGAGGAACTTATTGTTTATGAATAGTCAAGCACTGTAAACAAACCCTTGATAAGCCATTATGTTTGGCGAATGATGGGACGTTTTTTCCTGAATCGTTCCAGATAATTTTACATTTGGCACTCTGATCAATTAACATAGCTATGTTCAAAATCCCCAATTTCAATGGGTAAATCAACTATAATTCGCCATGTTCAATAGATTACTGGAGGAAGCGGGGATGGATTGGGATGTCATCGCCTTGTTCTTTTCTGAACATCCCAAACCCTGGACCACGCTAAAAATGCACGAAAACCACCAGCAAAAGATAAGATTTTTTGTGGACTACCAAAGATCGATCATGTCATGGCTAATATCTAAGAGTAAGTATGTAGTAATCTAGCCTCTAATTAGCTATTATGGTATTTTACATAATCATGGTATTGGATGTTTGGGGTAAATCAATAGTTGATAGATGATTATAATTAGATGAAATTTGATGGGTCGATCATCAATCGTCTATCCGTCTATCCACATCAACTATCTCAGGGTCGATGGATGTTAATGGTATTAGATACCATCTAATGATAGATTAAATTGAAAACCTATGGTTCAATACTAAGAAGGTATGAAACCGTTATGATGAAACCTATGGTAAAACGGCATCTGATGTTTGGAAAATTTCCATCGCTTTACGGCCAGCTCCTCAGGTTCAAGCTGATGAGATCAGCCAGAACGTAGTCATCTCGGCCTGTGGCTTGGCGTTCTGTCACGGGATCACTGGATGTTACAAATGGAGGTTTCCTAAAATGGAGGTACCCCAAAAACGCTGATTGGTTGATTTTATGAAAATCCTACAAAAATGATGATTTGGGAGTTTTTCTATTTTGGCTAAGCGCTCCTCTCGCCGGTAATCGCACAGCGCGAAAACTGCAAAACTTTTCGCAAAAAGTCAAGAAGTCAAAAAGTTTTCGACTTTTCGCAAAAAGTCACAAAATCAAAAAGTTGTCGACTTTTCGACTTTTCGCAAAAGGTCAAAAAATCAAAAAGGTTTTGACTTTTCGACTTTTCGGGTGATTTTTTTCAAAAAGCCAAAAAGCTCCTTTTCCGAACTAGCTTAGAGCTTGACAGTCTGACTGGCTTCGGAGATCTGAGCCTTGAAAGCTCTCAGCTTTTGGGGGCCTTACTAGAAAGATGCCAAAACGCAGTGGAGTCAAATCTTGACGGACGTTTGGATCAATACAAGAACAGCTTGAGGCGAGCTCATGGCAATGACAAGACCAAAATCGACAATGCTCTGAGAGAAAGGTGACGGCTGCGCGGACAATTGTCCAAGTTGATCTCAGGCATCAAGAACATGCGTCTGAGCCAGGTCTGGACCGTGGAAGCCTTTGCGCAATCCCTGCCAGCCTCCAGTCCATTTAGGGATCCTGGTATGACTTGGCCACAGGTCTGCAGCACCAAAACTCAGGTGCTAATGCTGGCAGTGGGAGTGAAGAATTCCGAGGCTCTGTGCACCAGTCACTTACTGTTTGCAGCGTTGAGAAGCATGATAGCAAACAATATCATGCACGCAATCTCTGCGCAACCCATTCTCCTGCACACGGTGGCCACCGCGGGAGGGGTGATGCACAAGAGAGCCGCGGTCAACCTTTATGGTGACTTCACCGCTCTTCGCTCACAAGGTGCATTTGCCAAGCAATGTCTTCTGTGGGTACTCAAGGTCGACGATCCTGAGTTTGAAGGTCTGTGGCGGGAGGTCCACGAGCTGACGCGACAAGGATGCAGCTTGGAAAACGCATGAAAACGCAATCCAGCAGAACCGCCACAGACTCTGGCGCTTGGGCGAAACTTTCGCCATGGCATCGGCAAGCCAGGATCTCAAAGTGCTCCGCGTGATGCTAGAAACAAAAGAATATGATGACGCCAACCAGCTTCGGATCCCACACGTGCTCCACAAGGGCAATCAGGTTTACCTGGCCATGTTGCAGCCAACGCACAGGGTACAGTTCCAGTTCAACAGTTTTCGCAAGGTCGCGCACAAGGAGCTGTCCAAGACCATGCGTGAGCTCATTGGAGACCCGACGCCAGCAATGAGTGCAAACACACGGTCCTTGCAAGATCTTTGGGGTTGCGACGTCGCATCTTTGAAGGACAAGCTGAGTGAGGAACAGTTTCAAGCTCCTGCAAACTCCACGGAACCTGTTCACTTTGTGGGCGTCAGCTGGAGCCGGGAAGTCTTACCGATTGGTGCCATCCTCACCTTGTGGCTACGCTGGGTAGACACGGCCTTTGACAGACCGGACGATCCACCCATCGCTGTGGTGGCAACATCCCGGGCTCAACACAGAGAAGATCTGCGCCGGAACATTACCAAGTTTCTGCCTGGAGATCAGGTTTTCATTATGGAATCCATGGTGGACATGGATGTGGAAGACATGGAATCCGAATTTTTTTTGGCAGGCAGCCAGTTCTGAAGAAGCGAAGCAAATCGAGAGAAGTCATTGGAAGTCTTTGAGCGTGTTAGATGCCAAGATTGATGAAGGCCGCCATGGAGATTTGGAATGGCTCCGATGGGTGGAGGAGCGCACGGCGCTGTTGTGGGAGAAGATCCTATGGTTGCGAGGTGACATTCTGCATGGGTTTTTGCAGAACAAGCTGCGTGTGTTGGTCTTGACCTCAGACAAGTTGCGGAAAACCCTTGCCGCTGCTTCGTCTTGGTTTCGGCAAAGGCCCCTAGGGCTACTTATCCAAGACGAAACTTTTTTGGACTTTGCCTCGCTCCTTGTGCATTTTGACCTGGTCATCACCACCGGAGGAGACCCACGGCAGGTGCTGAAAAGAAATTTCGTGCCATCCACGCGTCTTCCTCAAGCAGGAGTCCGGGAAGTGGAAGCAATTGCTTTCGAAGAGGAGCCGATCACCCCATGGCTGGAGCAGAGATCCTGTGTGGTCAACATGCAAACCTCTTACCGCTTGGGGCCAGAGGTGCTGGAATTGATCAATGAAATCTTCCCACTGCCCTTTGCAAACAGCTTTCGGACTGCAGGTAGGACCGTGGTGTCTGTGATGGAAGTGAACGACCGTTGGTTCCACTGGGACACCCAGGTTTCTTTGCGGTCAAGCATTGAGCAAAACTTTGCTTGGTCCATGTTCACTTGCATTGCGCTACAAGCATTGCGAGCTTCGGAAAGGCATCACGTGGCAATCATTTCGTACTACTCATCCGTGCTCGCGGCCATGTCGCTGCACATCGCCAATTTAGCTCGGGCTGCCAGTGAGACAGTGGGTAACGGCAACTTGTCCAACATTCGTTTTCTCACTCCAGAAGCTGCCGTTGGCCACACCGTGGAGGTGGTGCATTTCATTGCCTGCCAGCCCCGTTACAGCAGTGATTCCGCCCCACAAGGGCATCAACTCGAATTGGGGCGAAGGTATGTCTCCCTGACACGAGCGTCAGAACGGTTGTATGCCTGGGTGTCCAACATGGACTTGGCAGAAGAAGAATATAGCCGCAAATTGCAACTTTTCGCCAAGCTCACCGCCATAGATTTTCAGCAGACAGACATTGTCGAGGCAGTGCGGCAGCTGTTCAGCATGCACATCCGATGGGAGCAAGCCAGAGACCTCTGGTCCATGTGGCAATGGCAGAGCACCTCCAAAAGAACAGAAACCATAATTGAAATGCTTGCTCGCTACACCCATCAGCCGTCAAGATCACCATGCCCAGATCGATATACATCAAATCTAACTCACTCACTATATAAACCTGATTCTTTGCCAAATTGATCACACGGCCCTGCCATCCACAAACAAGCCAGGTGTACTTTAGCTCGGCCACAGCTTTGAAAAACATTCATCATTCAAAGTCCATTGCAGCAAGGCTGGCTCGTATATGTTGTACAGGCTGCGCTTGGCATTATCTTTTTGGCATGGAATCTTTAAATTAAAGGTGTGGATACGTATATTTAAACCATGCGCACTTCTTTGGTGGTATATCCAAATTGATTGCTTTAAAATCAGTCATTACCAAGCCAGGGCTGGGGAACCCACCTCTTCTATGATTTCCATGTACCTGGTTTTCAACCTATATTGGGATGCCCCCTCATTGACTAATAATATCTAATAATTGATTTCCCATTGACTGCATGGACTCCCAATTGGTTCCATATAGTATGTATCTCTTAAATAAACTCCACGGATTCCATGCTGACGTATCGGCCGCAAAATGCGGCAGCCCACCCTGTTGAGCCAAGCTCCAGAGAAAAGACATTGGTCTCAGACTTGGCCTGGTGATGGAAAGGTTGGTTGATATATTGTAAGCCTTGGGGATCCTTGGCGTGCTATTCCATTCTATAAGATAGAGACCCAATCTTATTATGACCATTGGTAGTCCTCAACACCATTCAGCTTTGGGATCGTTACCAGGTAAGATCTAACATTGTATCTTTTATGTTGGAATCCAACTATATATTATGTATGTTCCCATGAGAAGTTTTTATGTGAGGGCTATGGTATCACCATGCATCATCCGTTGATTCCACATTGAATTCTATATATTCGAATATATGATACATGATTGACTTGTTATATTATATACATATACTGTATATATATATGTGTGTTTTAAGAAGTTTGTGCTAGAACCTGAATACCCAATGTAATTTGCAACAAAAACAGACATACGGTAAATCACGTCCGGAACAAGAATTCTGGACCCTTTCCCTAAAACACTTCTTTTTGGGACTGGGAAAGGAATAGGAGTATACAGGGTGCCCCAGGTAAGGATATCCTGTAGAAAATACTTAGACTTACACTACTCGTGAAAATCAACCATTTGTGGGTTTTCGGTATCCAGCTTTCGAAAACCCACAAAATCAGCACAAAAAATAAAGAAACCCAGTACATGGACGACACAAAATCTAATCCTTATACATTGATTGCAGGTTTCCTGCTCCCCTGGAAAGTGAACAAAAACTCGACCAGGAAAGCAACAAAACAACACTGAAAAGCCATGTGCGTGGATACTGCCTGTGCTCCAATGCCTCCAAAACCCCACGCGGTTTATCACTCTTCCAGGGAAAATTTTCGCAAAAAGTCAAGAATTCAAAAAGTCAAAAAGTTTTCGACTTTTCGATTTTTTTCGTTTTTTCGACTTTTCGAGCAGAAATCTCCTGGAATGGGAACTTTTCGACTTTTCGACTTTTCGCGGTCGAAAATCGTGATTTTCACGGTGTGACCGCTACCAGCCAGAAGAGCACACAGTCAGTTGGGAAACCACCAGATATGCATAGTAACACCCGAAAAGATAGACTTTAGTAATTTACTGTATTTTTGGGGTGGGATGTATTACTTTCTCTGTTTTGGTTGCAATCGAGTATATGGGTGTATCCACAAATGGGGAAGAGCCCCAAATTGCCAGAAGATAGTTTCGAAACCGTTGGTTTTTTGGGTGCCCCATTGTCAGTGGGAAAAGGCACTTCCACTTCGCTTGGAGTGCAAATAATTACTGGCATGCCACAAAAAGTAATCCTTGATAACACAGACCGGCTAATCGACTAGTTTGTTTTTCAATGTTTTTCATGTATAGATCACAGGCAAGCAGGTTCGTCTCACTAAAGGCTGCTGTTTGGCGGTTTCAATCAGAAGATCCATCTCCTATCCGGCGATGGTACCCTGTTGAACAAGAAATTGCTTGGAAATGGATGGTCGGCCATCCCTCAAAATATGGCTCAAGGTGATGCGCCCCGGTATATGTTGGTCGGTAGTTGGTCCGTAAAGCCCCTAACCAACTCTTGTGCGTCAACTTCAACTTTGCATCAGTTCTGGATAGGGTCTGTCTATCTATCTATCTATCTATCGATCTATCTATCTATCTGTCTATCTACCTATCTACCATTCTACCTATCTACCTATCTACCTATCTACCTATCTACGTGGTAGGTAGATAGATAGATAGGTAGATAGATATATAGGTAAATAGATAGAGAGATAGATAGATAGATAGATAGATAGATAGATAGATAGATAGATAGGTAGATAGGTAGGTAGATAGGTAGATAGGTAGATAGGTAGATTATCTATCTATCCATCCACCCATCCAACCATCTATCTATCTATCTATCTATCTAACTATCTATCTATCTATGTATCTATCTATCTATCTATCTACCTATCTACCTATCTACCTATCTACCTATCTATCTATTCTATTCTATTCTACTCTGTTCTATTCTATCCTATCCTATTCTATTCTATTCTATTCTATTCTATTCTATCTAATCTATCTAATCTATCTATCTACCTATCTATCTATCTACCTAACTATCTATCCACCTATCTATCTATCTATCTTTCTATCTTATCTTATCTTACCTGATCTTCTCTTCTCTTCTCTTCTCTTCTCTTATCTATCTATCTATCTATCTATCTTATCTTATCTTATCGTTGTTTATATTATCTTATATTATCTTATCTTATCTATCTATATATATATATATATATATTATCTATCTATCCTATCTTATCTTATCTTATTCTTTGTATCTCTTATCCTATCTTACCTTGACTTATCTTATCTTATTTTGTCTTATCTTATCTATCTATCTTACCCTTTCTTATCTTATCTTACCTTATCTTATCTATCTTATCTATCTTATCTTAACGTGTCTTACCTTATCTTTTCTGATCTATCTTAACTTTCTTAACTTTCTTATCTATCTTATCTATCTTATCTATGTTGTCTATCTTATCTATCTTATATATCTTCTCTACCTTATCTATCTTATCTCCCTTATCTCCCTTATCTACCTTATCTATCTTATCTATCTTATCTATCTTATATCTTATATCTTACCTATCTATCTATCTACCTATCTACCTTTCTGGCTATCTACCTATCTACCTATCTACCTATCTATCTATCTATTTTATCTTATCTTATTTTATCTTATATTATATTATCTTATCTTATCTTATCTATATTTATTATCTATCCATCTATCTATCTATCTACCTATCGATTTATCTATATATATATTATCTATCAATTCTATCTTATCTTATCTTACCTTATCATTTCTTATCTATCTTATTTTTCTTATCTATCTGATCTTTCTTACCTATCTGATCTATCTTACCTATCTTATCTATCTTATCTTTCTTATCTATCTTATCTCTCTATCTGTCTTGTCTGTCTGTCTGTCTTGTCTGTCTGTCTTGTCTGTCTGTCTGTCTTGTCTGTCTGTCTGTCTGTCTTTCTGTCTGTCTATCTATCTATCTGTCTATCTATCGATCTATCTATCTAAACTAAACTAATCTAATCCAATCCAATCTAATCGAATCTAATCTAATCTAATCTATCTAATCTCATCTATCCATCTAATCTATCTATCTAATCTATCTATCTTTCTTTCTTATCTTTTATTATCTTATCTTATCTTGTCTTTTCTTACCTTATCTTATCTTTTCTTATCTTATCTCATCTTACCTTATCGTATCTTGTCTTATCTTATCTTACCTTATCTTATCTTATCTATCTATCCATCTATCTACAGTAATACAGTAATACAGTAATACAGTAATACAGTAATACAGTATACTTCAACTTTAAATTTCCCCATCTATATAGGGGACCTCACTTTCTAGGTTGATCCATCCCCATTGTTTGACAGCAAGGTCAGCAGGCTTCCCGCTGGCAGGTTCCCGGGGGATGGTTTTTTTTCAGGGTTAGAAGGGCGGAGTAGATACCCTCTGGTGATTGCACAAATGTTTGAACAACACAATTTTTTGTAGGTAAATCATCGAACTAAGTGGGGCGTGTTCATCCATTTGTCATAGCTATGGGAAATTGCCAGAGAGTAATCAGAGATATGAGATACAGATGTAGCAGATTGAAGTACTTGGATGATCTGGGATTTTCAGGCAGTCAATAAGTGGATAATAATTTACAACGATGTCATTACCCAGTTGGTACCAGTTATATGTGGCATACACACCAGTAATACCGGGGTTTGCCACTGACAGACGTCGTTTCCCTTTCCGGCAGAGGTTGCGGCAGACATGTTTTTTTCACAGTCCGGAGCTCAAGGAGTTTCGTGGTTTGTCACCGCGAGTGTTCGGAAAAACCCTCAGCTGCTGTAATTGTTATTTTTAGATGGGGATAATCCATGAACGAGAATGAACATGAGAATAATCCATGATTTCTTTCCGGCAATATATTTTCAGACAGTTCCGATATGAAAATTGAATGAATTTGGTAAGAAGATGCCGATGTCAGCAAGAGAGTGTGGGACGAGGAAACAACCACCAGAGTCACGAAAGAAAAGTCCGATAAACGATATTTACCAAAGCTAAAGTATTGCCATTTTCCTTGATGCTAAGTATGCCCCGTTTGGCCCCCCCTGCACCACAAGACCGGAAGAGCAACTGGAACTGAGTGGATCATGGGGGTAGGAGTTGTGGCTTTAAAGCCACTGTTGTCAAGCACTTCGCAGGACGATATGAGTTCACCCCGAGGCTGGAACAACTCAATAGCTCTCGGTCTATCCCTTCTAAATATCTACATGTTGTTCTTTGATGGGCCCATACCCCTTGCAACTGGTGGTTTTCCACCACATTTCACTGACGTTTCCAACCCCGTTGAACGGGTAGTGTCCCACCCCCGTTCTCCTGAAACCGGCCCTAAAACGGAGTCTCGCAGCAGAGCTTGAGGTCGCTGGTTCGAAGTCAAGGAGCAGATGGCTTCATGGATGGTTCACATAAGCTTGTAGCCAAATTCATGGCCATATCCAGCGGAAAATCAATCCCAGGGGCCCCAGGGGTCAATAGTAATGTTTGATTAATTAATATGCCATCCCATTCCCATGAAAAAAACAACATGAAAAAACACATTGAGAATTCAGGCGTTTTGGATAAACCAAAAAGATAAATATGTAACAGTTATCTCGAGTTGTCAATGCCAATTAACACCCTCTCTGGATAAATTATATAAGCGTCACTGCGAAGTCTCTGGAATGATGTTTTGTGGGGTCCCAGCATAACCCTATTTCAGGTTGATGAATTGCTTGTATCCAGAGATTTTGCATTATTTTACATCAACAACACCATTTCATAATCACAGTGTGTATATATATATATATAATCTCCATGATATAGTTTACATTAGTTCACAACATATAGTCACATGAGTGACCCAAAATGTCTCAATGAGTCTAATCACTATATACTGTAGTATGTTTTTATGTATGTTACATAAAATTTCACCATCATTTTGCACTCATAGTCATTTTTTATATTCAATAACTAATAACCACTAGGAGATCCCTTGAGTTGCGCCTCTGTGGTGCTGGCCAGCGAAGATGTACAGAAACGACATCAAGTGCAGGTGCCCTGTCGTTAAAACTCTCGAGGTGAGTCTTGTGATGTTCCAACAAAATATCTTTTGGTGTTTTTTTAAACAGAGAGCTATGGGATATGATTGAAATGACCCACTTATGGATGATCATTGATATACCTAGCAATTCCTATTTATATAGATTTCTGTAACTGCAGTTGAAGCACGGTGATAATCTCAATAAGTCGGGATATAAACCCTGTATATCCATACCTTTGCTTTGAATATGTCATCGGTTGAGAACATCAAACTGTTGTTCGGGGTTTCACCATCAAAATGAGGTATAACACCAACCTTGATGGAAGATTAATGGGATATATCACAACAATATACCAGTAGGGGTGTGTCTGGAAATGGCGATTTAACTTGAATTCATGAGGGGGTACCAACAGCCGGAATATTAACCAGCAAGACGATACTTGGGTTTGTCTGAAAATGGAGGGTATACCTTCAAACGGATAATGCTGGTGAAACAGTGGATTTAGGGTACCTATTTTCAGACAAACGTATATACTTATCTGTGTTGGGTCTTGCCCTCCGGTAATCAAACATGGCAACGGAAAGATTGCCCATTTGTAGATGATTTGCCCATTTAAATGCCCATTAAATAGGGAATCTCTTGATGCTGTGTTTGATTAGCCGAGGGATCCGGAGGATACTTTGCCAAGACATATAATATATATATATAATAATGTATATTATATATAATATGTATATTGGTGCACTTATAGATACATCTTGCATTATGCCACTAGTACTCTGACACCTTATATTCGGGGTAAATGCATTTATAATTTATATTGCTTGCTACATAAGTTTCAAAAATGATTGAATCTCTGACATTTACAGATGAAGCATCGGTGATATGTTTTTTCATGTTTCAGAGATTTTGCAGTCTCACCCTGCAATGTGACTAAGACAATCATGATAAGATGAACGGTTTTCAAAATGAAGATGGTGCATGTTCAAACAGTGAGAGTTGCAATTGCCACCATCGCCTTTACAATCACTTCCAGCTTGTAGAAGACCACTTTATGCCGAAACCAATCCAAACTTACAATTGTGCTGATCATCGTTTTCCTTTTGGAATGGCCATGTGAGGTATATACCATGGTATACCCCATTTTCAGGTACACCCAAATATCATATGGTTGGTTAGATATATCATTAAAACCATCATATTACATCACCATAAACCCTACTATTCTGTCCCAATCACAAAGGACATGTCCCATCCTTTCTCAGTGAAATCTCATTTTTTCCCATAGTAATTCACATTTTTGTGATGATTTTTGGATCAATAGCGAAGTCTCAATGCTTCATGGTTTCTATCCCATAAAAATACCCAATTGTTTATGGATGTCTATGGTTTCTATATGGTTTCTATCCCTCAAAAGGATCCAAAAAATTGTTGCCAGATTCACTTCGGCAGTTCCGCGAGGCGGCTTCAAGGGAAGCGGTGCTGAGGATTGGCCGATGGACGGCAGGTATGCTGCCGCGGGGCCAGGACCGGATGTGGAAAAGCCATTGGGGAAAGCCCCTGAAGGGAGAATGGAATGGTTTATGGAAGTGAATGGTTAGATAATGGTTAGATAATGGGCAGTTGATAATGGGGATATTAATGGATATTACGGTTTATATATCTGGAGATAAAATTGGGATGTTTTATGCCCTTGGATCCATGGCCACTTCCTTTCAGAAGGTACGGCTGGATCCCTAGTCATCATGCCCCAAACACTTCCTAAGAAGGCACGGCTGGATCCCTAGGGATGGATATATCATGATATATCCAAGCAACTTGATTTGTGGATTTGCGCTTTGTCGATGATTTGGCGACTATCTTGGCAGAATTCCACCAGGACTGGGGAATCTCTATATATATATATACAGAATGTCCATTTATTGGTTGGTCCTTAAGCACATGCAAGGATATGAACAGGGTATACGACCAACAGTCATTAAATATCATTATGTTTAGATATAGAACCAACAGCTCTAACAGGGACACAATGGGAAGATAATGGGTGGTTTATATATTTAGATATATCTGGAGAGAATTTTGGGATTTGACAAATATGCCACAAGTAAGACAAGCAAGGATGACGCACAATCTACCCTCTAAAGATACATTTGTTGGGGTGTCCCCACACCATCACAGTGATCAATGATAATTGATCATTGATCACCCTCTTTAGAGGCATCGTGTTTTTCCTTGTTTTCTTGCGCGATTTTCTTTATTGTTCTTTTTCTTCTTCTTCTTCTTCTTATTTTTCTTCTTTGGTTTCTTCTGTTTTCCTCCTCCTGATTTTCTATATTCGTGATTATCGTCACCATCATCATTGCCATCATTGTCATCATCACCATCATCATTATCATCATCATCATCGTCATCGTCGTCATCATCGTCATCATCGTCATCGTCATCGTCATCGTCGTCATCATCAGGGTCATCATGACAATGATACTCTCATGAGCCTTGATTGCCATCAATATTAGTTCTTCGAATGCGATCTTCTATGTGCTTGAAAGCCGGTTCTGTTGGAACATGATTGAATTGTGCGGTGTATTTGCCGAATGTCAGACCAAAGCAGGCCTGGTTTGTTCATGCATTGAAAGATGATCAATGTTGTTTACAACTCGTCATTCTTGATCTATTTTGATCAACACCCTCTATTATTTCTCAAATGGCTACTGTATTCGGCTTGGAATACTTGCCATTCCAAGCCGAACCACCCATCAACTATTGATTTCAATAACTGCAACTGAGTATGAATCGGGTTACAATCTTGTAGACTCAAGATGCCAGGGCTATCTACCCTTTAAATGAGGTTATAACTATATAAACCTGCACATAGCTAGTGGAGGCCCGTCATTGTGATATCTCTGCAGGACCCTTTAGTCTTGATCAATGCTCTCGGTGGTATGTTACGCTCTCGCAGCTGCCCCTCGACTTCAGTCAGTTTTGAGCCGTCAAAGACGGAGGAACGTGGCCAGCAAAGACGAACGGCTGCGCGCATCTAGACCTAGGACTAGCTTTTTGTTCAAGGAACGAACAAACGAGATTTCATAGAAGTTGAGAACAAACATTGAAAGAGTAAGTTTCGACATCCAGGTGAGATTTGGGTCAAAATTACATCTGGCTCCATTTGTCTTCGTATGGCCAATCAGCATTAATCCATTGCCAGTACTGTTCTCCAGCACTCCTCGGGGGATAATCCATTCAATTTGGCTATCTTCAGTAGAGCCACATCGTGTTTACATTTGTTGCCGCAATGATCATATATGCTGTCTCTGGATGATATTTTCGGGAGCTTTTCTTTACCGTACTCAGGGGTATGTGTGAACAATAATGATTGTGTCGTTGTTGCCATCCCTTGCAAACTAGTTATGGTGTCCTTGATGGCATTGAAATTGCATGTTGCATGCGATTGATGAAACATGTAATGAGGTAAACTCAACAAAGGTTTCATCAATCCCATGTAACATTATCCATCCCAAGTTTATATTGGATATATCCCTAGTTACATGGTAATCCATTCCCAAATTTTAGGTTTATCATTGGATACATCCCTAGTCGGGATGGTGTTATTTGACCCCAACTGCTGAATAGGATGGTCAAAATTGGCAAACACGCCGCCAAATACGCCGCCATTCTGGATCCAGTACTGAAACACTGATGTATTCCTTTCCAACACCGAAAGATGTTGTTTCTTTGACCCCTTTTTGAAAAAATCATATAAATGATTAAATGTTTTTTTGATTGCCTTTAGACAACAATTTGGTGGTTAAGAACATCTAATTGCAGCCAATTCCAGTGCAGCAAACGGGATGTTGGTCCCCAAGTGGACCCAAGTGTACAATCTTCCTCTGGAGGGCATTTCACCACATATAACCAACACTTCAATATTCATATGAAGAGAGGGGGAATCCATGTTAAATCCTTTGATTTTTCATCCGGGGTTGATGAAAAAGGTCGCCCCAGACAGAATCCCATGATTTGTCTAAATTCACCTACTTGGTGGCTCATCCCACTTAGTAACTCGGTTATGTTCCCAGATATAAGTGGATTAACCCCAGTTTTATCCCACAAAACCAGGGATATAACCTACTTAGGATTCGTGGGAGCATCACCTTGATCTGTTCGAGGTTGGCCCCCAGCTGCAGATCTGACTTTTGCACGACAGGCGCCAGCTGTATTTCACGAAACTTTAAGGGACATTGGGGGTTCGGGAAATGGTGCGAATTAATTGGGTATTTAATAAATATAGAATATAGAATCTACCAGTAGTACCGCACAAGGCGGTGGCGGAAGTTTCAAGGATAGGACACTATAGGAGAGGTGAGTTGTTGTGATGCATGGATGGCAGAGCGAATCCACTGATGGACCGAAAGGTGGTTGGAATTGTACTTTTTGGAGTGGTTGCAATGGTTGCAGTGTTCACCTCACTCACAACTCCTGGATGTAGTGTGGTGCAGTGCAGTAGTTGCAGTTGTAGTTGTAGTGGGGTTCATGTTGTTGAATGTTGAAGTTGTAATGTTGTAGTTGTGGTTGTAGTTGTAGTGTAGTTGAAGTTTTAATTGTCTTAATTGTATGGATTGTAGCAATTAGTTGCAGTAGCTGTAGGAGTTGTAGCTGTAGTTGTGGTGTAGTTGTAGTTGTAGTGCAGTTGTAGTTGTCGTTGTAGTTGTAGTTGTAGTGTAGTGCCGTGGTAATTTTTGTTGTAGTAGTGTTGTTGAAGTTGAAGTTGTAATTGAAATGTAGTTGTAGTGTAGCTGAGGTTGTAGTTGTAATTGCAGCTGTAGTTACAGTGGCACTTGTAGTGTAGTTGTAGTAGTTTTTGCAGTTGTAGTTGGAGTTGTAGTTGTAGTGGCACTTGCAATTGTAGTTGTAGTTGTGGTAATTGTAGTTGAGGTTGTAGTTGTAGTTGAAGTGTAGTTGAAGTTGTAGTTGTAACTAAAGTTGTAGTGTAGCTGTAGTTGAAGTGTAGTTGAAGTTGAAGTTGTAACTAAAGTTGTAGTGTAGCTGTAGCTGAAGTGTAGTTGAAGTTGTAGTTGCAGTGTGGTAGTGCAGTTGCAGTTGTCTATCTATCTATTATCTATTTGTCTTTCTGGTTATTTACTGTATCTTATCTGTCTATCTATCTATCTATCTATCTATCTGTCTGTCTGTCTGTCTGTCTGTCTGTCTATCTGCAAGCGTGAAAACGAAGCTATTCTGCGAGACTTCCTCAGTTTTTGAACTTGACAACATCAAAAACGCAGCAATTCTGCGAGACTTCCTCAGTTTTTGAACTTGACAACGTCAAGAACGCAGCAATTCTGTGAGACTTCCTCAATTTTTGAACTTGACAATGTCAAGAACGAAGCAATTCCGCGCGACTTCCTCAATTTTTCAAGTTGACAACATCAAAAACGAAGCAATTCTACGAGACTTCCTTCAAAAATGGAAAGTTGAGTGCAGAGCTGACCGCCTCGTACCAATGCGTTTTGCGATTTTTCCACTCCATCTGTCTTAAGTCCTGCACATGCCACGAAAAAGTGATGCCAGGTCATATGAAGTGCTGCACCTGTCACGCAGAATCATCTTAGCAAAGATCTGATGCTCCAAAATGCAACCCTTCTCAGGAAATCAGCGACTTGACCTCCTAACATCTCTGATGAACATGCCTTTTGTACTGCGCCTGCCACGCGAAATGCATCTTTGCAGATCCTCTTCAAATGTCCCACGCCTGCCATCGTTTTTGGAAATGCTACAAAAACCTCAGGTTTTGCTCACTTTTGGCAAGGTGCAGAATCCCTTGCGCCTGCCACGCAGAACCACATCTGAACCTTCAAAGTGGTCCAAGCATGTGGTGCTTTTAACATTTTGACTTCGGAATGTGCTTCGCGCCACAACGGTGCTCACTTTTTCGACATCCAAAAGTGCTCCGAAGCTGGTGTGTTTTGTACAAATTGACTTGGAAATGTGCTTCGCGCCACAACAGCATGCATTTTTTTCGACATCTCAACTTCCAAAAGCGCTCCGACACTGAGGTTTTTTTGTAATAAGATATATTTAATATATAGCATCTGTATAATATATATATATATATTAGTATATACATAGCATCTATATTTTATATCTATAAGAGCACTTTGCTATAGATTTGACAAACAGAATGGGGGTTTAACCAGCAAACACCAGCAAAAGTTGGTAGTAAAGCAACCAAGACTTGGATTTGACAACCCAAAAAGGGGTTTGCTCAGCTGCGTTTGTTTGAACATACCGTACCCCCAAATTTGATGCTCAAGCATGCTTAAGCATCATTTTCTCACTGGTTGGAGGCATACCCTACTTTTCAGACACACCCAAGTATCATATTGTTGGTTGTATATTTAATATACCATGACATCCCATGTTATATCACCATTTATGCAATTATTTTTCCGTAGTATATCCCTTTATATTTTTTTGTATAATATGTATATTACATTATGTACGGGGTTTCTTAAGTCATGGAGGATCCCCAAGTCACCATATGTTTCAATGTTCAGTCATGCTCTTGCATGACTTGGAGAATTTAGGGGTACTCCCTGCCATTTTAGGAAACCCAAAGATATGTATCTGGGTAGTTTATAGTGACCTCACGACCTCACTGTGAAGTCACTGGAATCATGGTGAGCGTATAGGAGAAGTATCCTCACCACTACCAAATTTTTGCAGGTTTCTAACATGTTATGATCTACTCATATCCAAATACATATATATATATATATATATATCGTCTATATGAGTTAGATATACCTGTTTATAATATATATATATATATACATATTATATATTATTGAATGTTGCGTTTCCGGCAGGTATACAATCCACTGATGACGGCCTTGGTGACTGGCACAGGCACCGTCCGTCTCGGCCGCGGGTCCCGAATGATATAATGTCAGGTAGTATAGCTGTGCAATGATATAGACATCATAGATATTGTAGATATTACATGATATTATGATATTGTAGATATTCTAGATATTGTAGATATGATGTGGATTTATGTGTCAAACGTAGAGCAAACATAGTGGGGCCGGCTTGATATATGAGTTGTATATGATTATGTACCTATTGGTTGTTTCATGGCGGGAACCCACCATAAATGATATAAATGGTTGGTAGAAACCATCCAAAATGGTTAGGTTTATGGGATGGGGTCAGGACACAAAATCGCTGGCTTAGCGGGCTTGGCCACGGGCTTCTTTGCAGACGCCTTGGAGGGTCGCTTCCCCAGAGTTGGAGCTCTGAATGTTGTGCGCGGAAAGCCGCAGAGATCTGGGGAAACCAACAAGTGGGATCAAATGAGTACATGATACAACTATACAACTATATACAACTTCATATGGTACTTTTTCTCTGGGAATATCTACTAAACAACATGTTGTTTGTGTTTTTTTGCAGGTAAAACCACAGTTCCCATTTTTCCTTGGGGTACCCGAAGGTGAACTATGGTTGGGATGACTGGTTGGTTCGTTGATTTAAACTGGGATGTAAGATGATGTAACCACAGACAATGGTTTTTGATATGGATATATCAAACAATGAATTTGGTTTTCAGCACAATTTGGTTCCAACATCGTCTGAACAATGATATATCAAACGTTTCATATGTTCAGATGATGTTTTTTTCCATCACCTTTCAGGTGATCCCGAAATGGCCTTGTTCGGTTGTGGATGCATTTTGGGGTCCTGAGAACGAACGTTCGGGGGGTACGACTCTTAGTTCGATGGACCAAACATGGACAGCGTTTTTGGGTCCTAGGCTCTGACATGTACATTGAAGGTCTTGGTGAATGATGGATCATCAATGATTTGGTTTCGAGCTGGGAGGCTATATTTTGTTGAGCTTGATGACATGAAGAAATATGTTGAAAGGAATTCTACCGTATCCTATGTCCTATGATCAGTGGTCCATTTGGTGGGGATCGCTCGTAAATGAGTTTGCTTGGTTTGATTTGTGATTTCCACTTAAACCAATGGCGGATTTTGCGGCTATCCGTGTTTTCCCAGAACCAGTTTATTTTTTTATACAGGGAACCGGAAAATTTGATGGGAAAAACCATGGTTTCCGCTTTCACTTTTCACTGCAGCATTCCCAATGAACGTATAAGTTTCCATAATTGCATCACTTAATTAAACTACTTAAACCATTTTACACATGAGCCACGTTCTAAACGCTTCTGTTCATGTTAAGCAAGGGCCCCCCTTGTAAGGGTGTAGCGTAAGATAGCGTAAGCAAAACTGTGGTGCGCGTAAGCCAGCGTAAGCTTCGTGTAAGACAAGATATGCGCGCAAGCAAAACCTGTGCGCGCGTAAGCAAAAAGTAAGCAATGGCGTAAGCAGTTCCTTATTTGGTGCCAGGATCTAAGACATGTAGAACATGGCTCACATAAGTTTTTCATATAAAAACCATTCTTAACCAACCTTTTTGCATGCAATAGATGTTAAATCCTGATTCTTGCTGGAGAAATCTTTGTGATTTTTCCTCCAATTCTTTTTTTTGGCTCAGCTTAGCGGCTTCGCTGGGCCCTCGAGCGCCATGACGGGTCGTCTCGGCCGACCGCGGGGCCTGGCGGTGGCCGCACTGTCGTTGCTGTGTACCTGGGCGGATTCCATGGGGATATGGGGATGCAGACTTCCATAGATTCATAGATGTAATATATAGATGCAGATTTGTGTTTTTGCAGGATATCTAAGACTCTAAGGTGTCCCACAAAGCGTGTGCTTGTTTTTTGACCATATTTATGAAGCAGTTCGATTAATGGGAAAAGTATGGATAGCCCACTAAGTGGGATGATCTTCCAAGTAGTCAACATTTTTTCCATAACACTGGGGATGTATATTTCCAAGAAGAAAAAATCTTTTGGAGGAAACTCGAAGATTGAAACGATTGAAACCCAGCTTAGCCAACTTTGCGGTTGAGTTCAAATCTTGCTGCGCGCTGTGGAGAAGCCACTTGGACCTCGGGATCCCTGGGACCACTTCGCCCGTGTCGCAGGTTATGAAACTGTGGACTTCACACTGACAGGCAGCGGCGAAGTCGTATAGCATGCTGGTGGTATAGGACAATTGGTGATTTTTTGTAGAGTTGGTGAGGATATCACTTGAATCACTTAAGTTTCCAAAGCTACAGAAATGGGGTTCTCTTAAACAGGCTACTCCCAATTCCAATAGATTCTCATCTTCTCCATGAAAATGGCCATACATGGGTTTGTTAATTCATCATTTTCAGACACACCCAGAATCTGAGTCAACCCAGAGGATGGGTAGTTTAATCCTTTATTGTTGTTGCTTCAAACAGACTTATCTACCAAGCAGCTACAGTTATGGCCCTTAACACTTTTAAATTGGATGAACTAACTCCTATAATTAAGTTTATATATCATGAAATAATCCCATAAAAAATGACTGTTATATAGTTGGGCCATAGCTGTAACACGTTTTTTTCCAGCATATCTTTCCGATCGGCAACGGAATGGGCTCACAGCGACTTCCCGATGTCAGGACGCTCCTGGCATGCGCCGCCCCGGGTTTCTGCGGTGACCACGTCTGCGGTGTTGGATCGCCGCTGTTTCCACGAGGGGTGTGGATCGATTGAAAGGCACGAATGTGGTTAAGACAATGCCATTAACCATCCATGACTGGGAATGGTTTTAATCCAACCTCTTTATGGTGAAATTGGGGATGGTTTATTTTTGTTTTAAATTACCAACATTAGTAATTAACCCTCCAAAAAGAGAGGTAAAAGAATGCACTTTTGGAGGACTTCATTTACATAGGCTAATTAATTTTAGGCAACTTACTCATTTACTTTACCATCTACCCATGTCATTTTAGGACTTGACTGTTGGATCTTTTGGGGGGATGGCGGGATTGCGGAGCTATGGTGCTTGGAAAGTTCGCGGCTCATGTTTGTCCCTTTTTTGATAGGAAGAAGATATCAATCTGAGCATTTAGTGTTTTTTTGCCGTGCATGCAACAAAGGTATCCGTGATGAAACAGAGATGGAAGAATGGTTTCTATATGTTCCTATACTATTTTGGATGTGATTCGGTTCGGTGTTTTGTTGGTTTCTTTGAGGCATTTTGATGGCGAAATAAGTTCTGTGCCACAGTGCAGAAACGATCTCACTGGGACGTCACTGGAAAGATGGTTTGCAATACCCAAGCTGGTTATGACTAACAGTTCGCCACGGTTAAGCCATGGCCCATAGAAATAGATGGTTTACCAGCGGTTTACCTATTAATAGCATGGTGATTTTCCATGGCACGCTGTTAGTCATAACCAGTTTGCCTATTAATAGCATGGTGATTTTCCATGGCACGCTGTTAGTCATAACCAGTTTACCTATAAATAGCATGGTGATGTTCCAGTTCGCTAACTGTTAAATAACCAGAGGTTTCTTTCAGGTTAGTGAATGGTTATTCTGATTCTTTATCCAGATCAATTGACGGTGGTTCAGTGGGAAAGAAATATGATTTTAATGTGCAGATGGTGTTCCTGTGCGAAATGATATACCCTGGACTCCATTCTACGATCATTTTCTTCTTCTCAGATGTTCAGATGTCTTGCCTGTCATTTTCTGGAAGTCTTGCTATAATTCAAATCCGAAGATTTTTTATTGAGTCTACATGTGAAATTTCTAAAAATTGCATGGGAATTTTAATTGAAATCCCATAATTATTCATGCTATGTGAAATTCAGCCGCACTGTTTGGCAATGAGATGTAATTCGTATTCATTCACCTAACGCATCTCGATCAAGTAATTGGTGGCTCATCCACCACCCAGGAAGCGACGCTCTGAAGACCTTGGGTTTCTCGGTGCAAGCGAGCACAGCCACCGGTGCCTGTTAAAGATCGCATTGGGCGTTAGGGCTACATACATCCCGTGTGAATGTTTGGTGGATCATATGTTGCATTCTTTGTTGGCAAAGTCTGTATTTGGATAATTATGGTGTTTTGGTGTTGGTTCTATGTTTAAAAAAAAGCTACGCATCCGTATCACTTCTGGGTCCTGGCAATCTCTGAATCCCGTCTCCTGGGATAAAAATCAGGGTGCTATTTGAATCCTCATCAATTCCTTGGTAAATTTGGGGGTGCTGAAAAATCCCATGAACATGAAATTCTTCAGTTATGTTCAGTCGCAACAGTGTCACCACACCCCCAGGCATGGGTAGTTTAAATAACTGTTTTTGTTGGGTTTATATAATACATATATATACATATAATATCCCAAAGACTGCTTATTGGCCTGCTATTTGCCCCCATCTATCGCCATCTATGCACTCCTGAACTTGCGATGGACCGAATCTGGCGACCGAAGCAATCCTCTCTATCTATCCATTAGATGATCATAGGAATACTTATCTGGTTGGTGGTTTGGAACATGAATTTTATTTTTCCATATATTGGAACTACTCATCCCAACTGACTTTCATATTTTTCGGAGGGGTAGGTCAACCACCAACCAGTTATACAAGTGTTCTCCATTGCCATGCTTGAGTACAAAATCCATGGTTCTGTCAGTTCCATCCCCATTCTTTGTGATATATTATTCCCTAAATTATCTATCATGAAATATACATCATAACATTGCATTCTAAATGATTCTACTTGGTGGCTCATCCCACTTAGTAAGTGGTTTATAAGCCTATAATAGGTGGATTAACCCGCCTTATATAATCCCACTAAAGAAATTAGTGTTCTAAGTTATAGTCCACCTACTAAGTGGCATGGGCCACCAAGTACAGACATCTTTGACATCTATTCTTTGTGATTCCATATTATTCCCGTTGATTCCCTATATATGATTTGATTCTATACTATAGATTATATATATATATATATATGATGTATGATTCAAAAAATGTCCACATTTACCCCCCAGCTCCGAGTCTTCCTCCCATCCTCTAGGCCTCGAAGGCAGTCAGTTCAGCAGCACGTTCAGCGACGATGAGCTGAAGAAGGCCTACCGCCAGGCAGTGCGACGCTCGCACCCTGATGCCCCCGGAGGCAGCGCGAAGACGGTATGAATTGATTTAGGGTGGTTGACTTGATAGTGCTTTATTTATTTATTTATTTAGTTATAGTGATTTATACTCTTTTATAGTCTTTTATGGTGTTTTCAAGTGTTTTCTAGTGCTTTATGGTGTTTTATAGTAGCGTTTTATTTCAATATTATTTTTATAATGTTTTATAGATTTTATAGCCTTGTATATAGTGTTTTATGTTTTTCTCAAAAAATGTATCTTTGGGTGTTTCATATTTTTGTTGTTTAAGTATTTTATGTCTTTTATGGTGTTGGAAGGTGTTTTATAGCGTTTCATGGTGTTTCATGCTGTTTTGTCGCATCGATAATTATATTTCTATTTGGTTTGTTTTGTTGGGGTTAATAGCAATGTTTGTTCAATACGGATGTACAGAAATGAGCAGTGCACTGGCAGTTGGGAATTATAGGGTGGGCAGGGATGGGTTGCTTTGCCTTCTGCTGTTGCAACGCCGCAAAAATGGGAAGTCGCCACTTAGAATGGAGAGTTGACCGAACTTCAGAGGGAAGTATCCAAGCATTGTCACTGTTGATATGGGATCTCCATTGCCGCAGGTAGTGCGAAGAAGTTGCAGAAGGTCAAGGAAACTCGACAGTTCCTGCATTTGGTGGTACAGCCAGTCATGTTTGGTGGGTTTGTTTGTTTATAATTTATTACGACTATTCCATCTCTTTAATACTAAATACCCAAAATGAATACAGTAGATCTAGATAACGCATTCTAATACTAAACGAAACCAGGGTTTCTAGGGTTGTATTTTTTGGCGCCCGACCGGGTTACCACCCCCCGTATCCATGTACATAAACTATATAAAATCACAGTAAATGCCACACGAAACTGCTTCTCCAGGACATATTTTGAGTATGTCCGTATACGGTAGGTCAGCAATCCCTGATCTTGTTCATTTGTGTGGTGTTAGTCAAGTGAAAAATCAGGGCATGGTAACCCGGTCGGGTACCTTTCAATCTTGGGGGAAGAATTATTGTCCCATGAATGCCGGAAAGTCATCCATCAATCAAAGTGTGGATACGTGTTTCATCTTTGCTTTCAAGCCCGACCTGAGACAGGGATCTGCAATGACAAATATACAATTCTGTTTTGGGGGGCTGACGTCACCAACTACAGAAAATGTTGGCTAAAGAAATGAGAATACCCAGAAGGTCACATATAAGAATGTAATTGTTGCTAAATGAAATCATATTTCGGAATATCCCCTCATCCGACCAAGAAACGCTTCAAATCTTTTGCAACTCTTGGACATTGGGGATAGGATAGTGTTCACAAAACCAAAGGACCTCAGGTGTCATATTTAATTTTTTTGTCCCTTCCACTTCAGCCATCACCAAGGATGCTTACGATTACCTCATGACCGCCCCCAGCATCAAAGTCTGGGACGAGGGTAAGCGCCAGTACGGCGCCAATAGCAACCCTGGCAGCAGCGGTTTCCCCGACGTGGGCAGTTCAAAGCCCAAACCCAACGCCATGCGAAGAGAGGTGGATGGGTGGGGGTTTTCTCACTCGGAGAAGGATGGAGAAGGATGAATCATCCCTAAACAGCCTTTAAAATTCTTGTCAGCTTGATGATACCTGGTGAGTTGTTGTAAAATTATCTCAACAAATTAAGTTATCACACCTGGGTTTGTTTGAACATTGAGTGCCGCAACGCCCCCAAAAGTCAGCTGGGCTGCTAATCAGATGGAGGTGCATCCTAGACGATAACGTAAGGGTTTTCCAATGTTTTCCATTTTTAATGATGAGTTCCCTACTTTCCGACTGAAATCACAATATTCTGGTCACTATACCCTCTATATACATTTATAATGTTATAATCATTTTATACAGCTTATGAAATCCTGTTGGTTCGTAGTCCTACCACTTTCCAAGCACTTTCCAAGCGTTTTACAATGGATTGGTTCCCATGAAATATGGGGCTTTCCTGCATGTGTTCCCTTAAACTAATCCATTGATTTTTATCCTGTTGGTTCATGTCCATGAAATCCTGTCGCTTCACCATAGGTGCTATGAACCATTCCCAGTCATGGGTGGTAAAAATTGCATTGTTTTACTCACATTATTCATGAAATGCCATGACTATACCATGGTTAGTCATTAGCTATATCATATCCCATTCATATCCCATTCATATATCATTCATATCCCATTCATATGCCATTCATATGCCATTCATATCCCATTCATATCCCATTCATATCCCATTAATATACCATTAATATCCCGTTCATATACCATTAATATCCCACTCATATCCCAATGATATCCCATTAATATACCATTAATATCCCGTTCATATCCCATTCATATACCATTCATATCCCATTCACATACCATTAATTTAACATTATTATACCATTCATATACCATTCATATCCCATTAATATCCATTAATATCCCATTGATATACCATTCATATCCCATTCATATCCCATTAATATACCATTAATATCCCATTCATATACCATTAATATCCCATTCATATCCCAATGATATCCCATTAATATACCATTAATATCCCGTTCATATACCATTCATATCCAATTCATATCCCATTCATGTACCATTGATATAACATTAATATACCATTCATATATCATTCATATCCCATTCATATGCCATTCATATCCCACTCATATCCCATTCATATCCCATTCATATCCCATTAATATACCATTAATATCCCATTCATATCCCATTCATATCCCATTAATATACAATTAATATCCCATTCATATACCATTAATATCCCATTCATATCCCAATGATATCCCATTAATATACCATTAATATCCCGTTCATATACCATTCATATCCCATTCATATCCCATTCATGTACCATTGATATAACATTAATATACCATTCATATATCATTCATATCCCATTCATATACCATTCATATCCCATTCATATACCATAAATTTAACATTATTTTACCATTCACATACCATTCATATCCCATTCATATACCATAAATTTAACATTATTATACCATTCACATACCATTCATATCCTATTCATATCCCATTGATATCTCATGAATATACCATTAATATCTCATTCATTTACCATTCATATGCCATTCATATCCCATTAATATACCATTAATATCCCGTTCATCGAAGGAAGTTTAGAAGTCAAACTTCCGACAATATGGACAGATGAAAAGCAGAGCAGGGAAGAGGCAGAGAGAAGAGAAAGAGTAAGAAGAAAGAAGATGGAGATGCGCGAAAAGGTAGGAAAGTCGCGATTCACTGTGTTTCTCCAATGATTTGTGGCTCCGGAGGGTCGAAAAGTAGGCTCGCTAAAGCGGCGGGTGCGGAGCCAGCTGGCCAGAGGAGAGATGAAAAATTGCACGCCGTTGTGGCGCGAAGCACATTTCCAAGTCAAAATGTACAAAACACACCACGTTCGGACCACTTTTGGAAGTTGAGATGTTGAAACAGCGCACGCCGTTGTGGCGCGAAGCACATTTCCAAGTCAAAATGCACAAAACACACCAGGCGCGGACCACTTTTGGCACTTGAGATGTCGAAAAAGTGCACGCCTTTGTGGAGCGGGGCCAACGCGAAACAAACCGAGAGTCGGCCAAAAAATGCGAGTTGATTTTTGTCTAGGCAAGTGCAACCGTCATGTTAAACTGGACATGCAAGAATGTCAGGGCAGTCCGTTTTTGATGGCCTCTGTCAAAATATATGTTTGCCTTTGGTTGGGCCATTAGCTTCGTTGGAACAGAGCTTCATTAGCAAGTCCTTCAGGATCGGATGTGCAATGTGCAGCAAGAGTTGTTGCAGATTTCTGTTCTTTTGATCATCTTTGAGTAAGCTTGTCGTTTGGGTAAGATTACATTTTTAGACTCTGGTTTGGTCGGAACTTGCATCAAGCTTCCACGTATTTTTCGTTTCTGAGCAATATTGTGTGCTGCTTGTCCGCAGTGTGTTTCGTCAAGCACTTTTTAACGATGCAGCTGGCTTTGTTCTTCGCTCCGCAGTTCGCGTTGCCCTCAGCAGAGTGTGGCCTTTTTCTTTTGCTTTTGCTTGTGATGTTTTCGTTTCTCGGGCGGTTTTCGGGGCGGTTGCCTCTGAAGTTCCTGCAGCGAAGTTTTACAACCCAATTTTTTGATGTGCGCTTCTTTGTTTTGAGCTGGCGCCTGACGTGCAAGTCTACGTCGTGTTTTCGCAGGTCGAGGAAGATGTCTTCTGAGGCGGAGGAGGAGGATGATCCATTGCTTGCTGTGTTTTTTCATTTTTTTGCGTTTCGCGTTTTTTTTGTTGTTGTTTTGCCTTTTGTTGCTTTCTTGTTCATGCCAACGGCGCCATTTGCGACCCGATGGCAAAATGCAAATTTCGTGTTCTTGTGGTGAAGATGCTACGCCACATGTGGGTTGGGTGGGGATGGGGTGGGGTGGGGCACTGACAACGTTCCTGTTGATGCTACGCAACTCACAGCTCTACGCAGCAACCGCAGGGGACAAGGTACGCAACATGTGATGAAGATGCTACGCCACATGTGGGTTGGGTGGGGATGGGGTGGGGCACGTTCCTGTTGATGCTACGCAACTCACAGCTCTACGCAGCAACCGCAGGGGACAAGGTATGCGACATGTGATGAAGATGCTACGCCACATGTGGGTTGGGTGGGGATGGGGTGGGGCACTGATAACGTTCCTGTTGATGCTACGCAACTTACAGCTCTACGCAACAACCGCAGGGGACAAGGTACGCAACATGTGATGAAGATGCTACGCCACATGTGGGTTGGGTGGGGGTGGGGTGGCGCACTGATAAATTCCTGTTGATGCGACGCAACTCAAAGCTCCGCAGGGGACAAGGTATGCAACATGTGAAGAAGATGCTACGCCACATGTGGGTTGGGTGGGGATGGGGTGGGGTGGGGCACTGACAACGTTCCTGTTGATGCTACGCAACTCACAGCTCTACGCGGCAACCGCAGGGGACAAGGTACGCAACATGTGATGAAGATGCTACGCCACATGTGGGTTGGGTGGGGATGGGGTGGGGCACTGATAACGTTCCTGTTGATGCTACGCAACTCACCGCTCTACGCAGCAACCGCAGGGGACAAGGTACGCAACATGTGATGAAGATGCTACGCCACATGTGGATTGGGTGGGGATGGGGTGGGGCACTGATAACCTTCCTGTTGATGCTACGCAATTCAGCTGTGGGATGGCTTTTGGAAGATTCTCAAAAAATTGTTGTTTCCAATTTGCGAACTCGCGGGAAGTTAGATCGCCGTGTCGACCAGCGCTTGCTGAACAAGATTAAAGCCTTCATGTACAGACACAACTCAGGTCATAACCTGTGGAAGGAACTGGGAAAGCTGGCCAAGAAGAGTCGACGCTGAACAACTTGCAAGGGTGAGTTGAAAAATTAGTTATGCTGAATGACTGGTGGAACCGATGTGACTGAATCTGGCCAACAGAAGAAAGAAAACAATAATTCTTCTCAGATGTGTTGAAAATCGATGAACGCTCCACACGAAACGCACTTGTGGTAGCTGGCCCCAGTGGAAATACGACTTGACGGTTTTTTTTACGTTTTTACAAAACCTTGCAAATACCATGATTTTGTGAACGAAGCATCATGAAAAATCCATGAATTACCCCGGGTCGCTAACCGCGCCGTAGCCTTCATTTTTCTTGTTTTTGCCACATTGTTGTGAGGCTGTTCCTGTTCCTGAGGCTGGATATAGGCAGGTATGTTTTCGTCGCTGTAGGTTGAAGCTTGCTTTTTTACATAGCATATTGCATTGTTGTGAAATCTTTTCGTCTTGGAAGGTTGGGGCCTACCGGCGGGTGGGCGCACTTTTTCGGTCGCCTTCATCCTCCAGGTTGGATTGCTGTTGTTCGTTTGACTTCTTCGCGTTGGTTTTCTGTGTGTTTGCGTCTGTATTGCTTGGTTCTTTTCGGCAAGGTATGTCCTGTGGTGCTGCAGGTCCTCTGTTTCGCGGCACGGCGTGCTTGGATTTCGGCGTGAAACCCAAGGGCGCCCGCCCGACCTATGTGTGGGAGCACGTGGCGCTGAACCCTCGGGTTTTGCTATTCGGCTGTGACTTCTCATATTGGTGGTTGCTTGTTGCATTTCCTTTCGCTTTCTTTTTCTTGGTTTTGCTTAGGATTCGCTGTGGCTTTCTTGGTCGAGCAGCGTGGAGGTGGCCTTCTGGTTTGCGGTTGCGCAGGCCAAAGCATGCGGTTTTTTTTTGCCTTGCGGTTTTGTTCTCTCGTTTCCATACTTTTTCCTTGCGGAGGCGATCGTCGTGTTCTTGCTGTTCTTCGACCGGGGGTTCATCTGTGGAACCCATTAGTGTAGTGTAGCGTAATGTAGTGTCGTTAGAATTGTCGGTGGTAGTCGTAGTAAGAGTAGCAGTGCGGAACCTCTTCTACCAGCAGGGCTACCACTGGGACTTCATGTTTGATTGGAGGACCCTGTGCCTGGGTAGTTGACAAATTCAGCCACCC